GAGTGTGTGTGTGTGTGTGAGTGAGTGAGTGAGAGTCTGTCTGTGTGTGAGTGAGTGAGTGAGTGTTTGCGTGTGTGAACGAGTGTGTGTGCGTGCGTGCGTGTGTGTGTGTGAGTGTGTGTGAACAAGTGTGTGTGCGTGCGTGCGTGTGTGTGTGTGTGCGTGAGTGAGTGTGTGTTTGCGTGTGTGAACGAGTGTGTGTGTGTCTGTGTGTGTGGGTGTGTGTGTGTTTGCGTGTGTGAGTGAGTGAGTGTTTGCGTGTGTGAACGTGTGTGTGTGTGTGTGTGTGTGTGAACGAGTGTGTGTGTGTGTGTGTGAGTGTGTGAACGAGTGTGTGCGTGCGTGCGTGTGTGTGCGTGCGTGTGTGTGTGTGTGCGTGAGTGTGTGTTTGCGTGTGTGAACGAGTGTCTGTCTGTGTGTGTTTGTCTGTCTGTCTGTGTGTGCGTGCGAGTGTGTCTGTGATTGATCACTGCGGACAATCTGCGTCTAATGACTGATCACTATCTCAGTCCGTATCTGACCTTTAAAAGTTTACTTATTACTATTTTTACGACAATTAGCGGAAGCTAGAGATTACCGTTTATAAAGTTTTACATATGGATATTTTTCTTACACAAATGCATTGATTTGTCAGCACTAAGATCAAGTAAAACTAGCAATGAGACACAGCCTTGGTCTGACGCAAGAAGCAAGTCATTTGTAATTTTAACAAGTGCAGTTTCTGTGCTATGGTGGGGCATGAAACCAGACTCTAATTCTTCATAGAGATAATTTTTTTTGCAAGAAGGAGCACAATTGAGCAGACAACTTTTTCTAAAATTTTAGTTAGTTAGGTCTTAATTGTCATAGCATATATGACTGTGACCGTTCAAACAAACCAGGTTTGTGATGTGTTTTTCGTCTACATTTAGCATAATTAATCAGCATGATCAGAGCCTATCATAATAAACAATGTTTTAATGGGAAAAAATTATTTGTAGATGGCAAGGAAAGACAATAACTGACTTACTTTGTCTTCCGTTCATGAAGAGAGCATTTTGATTATCTTGTACATTGTTTGTTTCTTTTAACTGTTTCACAATTTCTGGCAATATTGTCGACTTGATTGCACAGACACAATTGGAAGAGAGCTGGATGATGAATCACTGAATCAAAGATGAACTGACTGTTTTCTGTTGTCCTCTTGCATCATCAGCACACATTTGTCCTGTTCAACACCGTAAAGCTGCTTTGGCACAATCAGTATTGTATAAAGCACTATATAAATAAAGGTGACTTGACTTGACTTAAGGAGGCACTTATTTTAAGCAAAATATAAAAAACAATATTAGCCTGATAAAACATCTGATCCTACCTTTTGAATTGACTAATTCAATTGTCAATTCATCTCAAGTGCTCCAGTGGAGTGAAAACCACCTGTTTTTTATTTTATTTTACTTGGTTTAGTGAGTGAGTGAGTGAGTGAGTGTGTGTGTGTG